ATTTATAAACCAACGATATTTCAGAAAACAACACTTCCAAAACGGAGCATATTTCCACTTATGAGCATCACCCAATCACAGCCAACCATCAGCGACTCGAAGTATCTCCATTTTCAACCAAAGATTGCAGAAATGATAATACTTCTCAGAAATTAAACAGAAATTAAGACGAAAAGAGAGAACCATGAAGGGATGGGTGGCGTCCATCCTTGCCCCAGCCGATGCCGCGAGTGGAATCTAGGTATTGTTGAACAAGGTGGCGGCATTTCTGAAGGTGGTTGACCCCTTCAATACGGTAGCACCATCTGAGCTTTTCCCTCAGTATCTTCGCCTTTTCTATTTCGATCCACTTCTCTCTCACAATGTGTTCCCTCATCTCCAGCATCGCCACTGGATCCTTATACGGATGCTCCGGATCGAAATCATCCGGCGGAGATTCATCGAATTCGACCGTCTTCTTCCTCCCCATAGTTTTTTTCCCCTCTTCTCTTTGCCTGCTCTCAGTTCTCAGGATCGCTCTCTCGCACCTACACGGGAGCACAACGCCCCATATTCCTTGTAGCTTCCTAACAAATGGGCTTGGTTCAATGGACTTCTGATTTTGGGCCCATTCTTGTTCCTCACAGAGCCCATTGGGCCAAATATTTTTAATGAAATAACAAATAGTTAGATTTAAAATCGGCCCATTATTGATCCTCAAAAAGGCCAAAGTATTGGGCCTAATGTTTTTTTCTATTTTATGAAAAGAACATAATAGTTACATCTAAACTCAGCCCATTCTTGTTCTCTGAAAGCCAATTTATTGGGCCGAACGTTTTATTTTTATGAAAAGAACATTAGTTAAGATTTAAACTCGGCCCATTGTTGTTCCTCAAGAAGCCCAATGTTTTGGGCCATGAAGACCAATGTTTTGGGCCGAATGTTTTTCTTTTTTCGATAGAAAGAACATAATAGTTTGTTGAAAATTTCTGCATTTTTCTGTCGCCCGACCCCGAGGGAGATCTCTAAACTTCCAGACGAGCAAACGCTACGCTGGGTCTTCAGAGAAACGCCCATTAACTACATACCAACCAAGTTTCGCTGCGCTGTTGGCGAGAAATTGCGAAGGAACAATCTCAGTCCCAATTGGCGTTGGAACGTAGAACATGGCTGGAAAGCAAGTTACCGGCACCGGTCTGCCGGAGAGCATCGCGGGAATGTCGAAGAACCAACTATATGACATCATGTCTCAAATGAAGGTACTTATTTTTCCTCTCGCTGTCGGAATCTATATTGGTCTGTCCCCGCTCTTCGTCCACTTTCTGAGTTCGATCTTTGTCTCCGAGCAATGTCCGGATATCGGAGGAATGATTACTGCTGTGTTTATTATTCTGCAGACACTGATCGAACAGAACCAGCAGCAGGCGAAACAAATCCTTATCCAAAACCCGCTATTGACCAAAGCTCTTTTCCAGGTTTCAATTTTTAGGTTTTTCGTGTCTTGAGAAAAGTTCATTTCATTTACCATTTAGAGCTAGCCAGTTAATCTTCTCTTGGCCGAGTTTAACAAATAGGGCTGTACGTGAACCGGATTTTGAATAATTGCTAGTGCCTCGAGGAAATTGAATCTGTTTTAGTAATGTGCACACTTGTATAATCTTTTGCGAGGTTTAATTTTAATATCTTTTGAAGTAAACCTGTTGGTGGATCATATTCTTGAATGAATGGATTTATCTATTCTGGGTGAAATCAAACAAGTTTTGTAGCATCTCTCTATCTTTCCCAATTGCATTCAAGGACGTGTATTCTTGAAGACGGCGAAAGTAGTCTGGAGCACGAGTTTTCTTCTTATTACCCCCTCGGAGACAGCATCGATTGTCAAATGTTTGTATGGCCTACTACAAGCGTCAAGTTTGAGCACTAGATTGTGTAGGCATTTGTTTGTTCAGAATCATTTTTAACAACTAGGCGTGACTGCAAATGTTATTTATAATATTAATTTATGCCCTAGGGTACACTGAGTTATGTGGTTAATAGTCTGGACCCTTTTTACTGGTTAATCAGCACATTTAGAGGTTTTACCTTTAATTCCTCTTTTGATTACTGAAAGTATTATTGATTCTACTTTTTTATCTTCCAGGCGCAGATCATGCTTGGAATGGTACGACCGCCTCAGGTAGCGTGCCATTGTTATTCTACTATTTTTCTTTTTTCTGCATTTTCAATCAGCTTATAGGTATACATCTAAGTTATTCTTCTGTTTAGATTCCAAGCGTTCATCCTTCTGCCTCACAGCATTCTCAACCACCAACTCACACAACTCAACAATCAAATATTCAGCCTACTCAAACATCAGCTGCTCAAATAAGTTTGCAAGAACAGACAAGTACACCACCTTTGGCCCCTCCTAGAAAACAATATCAGAACCAACCATCAATGCCTGTCTCATCAACTACTCTTCCTACCACTAACATTCAGCCCCGGTCAGCACCTCTGATTCCCCTACAGACACCACAGCATCCCAAGGGATTTGATATGCCCCAGGCAAATCCCAGTTCTGCGCCACAACCCTCTCAAATTCCAAATGTACCTCCAATTCTTCCCTCTGCTGCTCAGCCACCTCTACTTCATCAACCCCAGATTTCAACTGCTTCCATCCAGCTGCAGCAGCCATTACAAACAGCTGAGATTCCCCACCTGCCTCCACCGGCACCATTGCCCTCACATTCCAGAGCACCTACGGGTCCAAATTTCCATCAGCACTACCCCCCTCAAATTGGCCACAATATGAATTACCAACCTCCTGGCATCCCACAGCATGTTTCTCAGCCCATATTTCATGTAAGTCTTGGAGTTTTAGTTTTCAAGCTAAAATTCTCTTTTGGATTTACAGTACACAAATCTCCAAGTGAAAATGATCTCTCAACCTCTCTAATCTATTTTTTAAATGTTCTAGTCAGGTACCAAACTCCCTCCTGGCATGGGAAATTCATTTCCCCCAGGACAGTCGGCGCTCCCTAGTCAGCCAGCCCCTCAATCAATGTATCAGGTACTTTTTTTTTTTTTTTTTTACATGATTACAATGTGTTTATCCTGGAAAATGTTGTATAGTAAATATGTCTATCTATAGAATATTTATTATTTTCAACATTTATAATATTATTCATTTAGTAAGCCATACATGTGGAATTTGCTGTGGGAATGGCAGTTTGGTGGTGGAGTTCTTTTGGGATTATTGGGGCTTGGAATAGGGTTGGGGGAGGTGGTTTTGCACTCCCCTTTTAGCGAGAAGGGTATAGTGGTGTGGCAAGCAAGCTTCTTTGCCATTTTATCGGGTAATTGGTTGGAGTGTAATGGTAGGATTTTTTGGGATATGGAGAATTCTAGAGAATAGGTTTAGGAGTTGGTGAGGTTTAATTGTTCCATTTAGACTTAGTTCACTAGACCATTACGTAATTATGATGTTGGTCTTGTTCTTTTGGACTAGAGTCATTTTTATAGTTAGTGTGTGTTTTTTAGGACTTCTTTTTTGTTCACCTTTGTATTTTGCGTGAAAGTTTGGTTTCCTACCAAAAAAAAGTTATAGGTTCTTGGTAGAAATTGTTCGTGTTTGCATTTGTCTGATATAGACACAGTTATGCTTTTAATTTTTGGCATAACTAGTTCAGTAGACCATTGTGTAACTATGATATCTAGGTCTTGTTCTTTTAGATTAGAATCATTTTTATAATTAGTCTTGTTTTTCAAGGGCTTCTTTTTTGTTCACCCTTGTATTCATCATGAAAGTTCGGCCTCTTACCAGAAAAATTGTAAAGTTCTTGGTAGAAATTGTTCGTGTTTGCATTTGTCATGTATAGACACAGTTATGCGTTTAATTTTTGGCATAACCCCTGTAAGACATTAGATGGTGGAACTTGGGTTACATGAAAGAAAACTATTGTAGCAGTCATGATGTTTGTTCTCTTCTAATCTTTTGGATGTCATAGATAGTCTTGTTAGGTCCTATCTAATGAGAAAGAGGAAGGGGTTTGATATTCTTTGATCTTGCACGGTTCTCTATTGAGTTTCCATTTGTGGATTTGGTAGGTGTTAGGCGAGTAAGTATTCTGCATTTTGGATATTACGGAGGACAAACATTTCAAAAGTTTAGTATGAGTGGCATTTGTTGTTTAATTATTCAAAAGTTTTCAATAGGGTTTGCGTATGCAAACTGGTCTTGAGAATGCCATCTACTTGTATACCAAATTATTAAAAGCCATTACAAACACTGTCAAATAACCACAGTATTAGCTGTTTAATATCTCGCTTGGTGCATATTTCTCTCAGGCTGGAGGTTCTAAATTAGGTACAGAATTCATGAATCAAGTTGGAAGTTCAAAGCCTGCTGACAGAGGGCCTTGGATGCCTGGCCCTCCAGAAAATCCTACACATCCACAGCAACTCTCCGGACCACCACCAATACCATCAGTCCTTGGTCAGATGGGCCCTGGCAATCAGCCTCGTGCGGCACCACCGGTACTTTTCTTATTACTTTCTTTTTTCTGTTTTGAACGACAAGTGCTTCTTTTTCATTTTGTTATTGACCTTTGTCTCTCCCCTCCCTTTTCACCCGGATTTTGGTTCAGTTGAGTCAGGAGATGGAGAAGATGTTACTTCAACAAGTCATGAGTCTCACACCAGAACAAATTAATCTCCTGCCTCCAGAGCAAAGGAATCAAGTGCTTCAGCTACAGAAGATACTGCGCCAATGAACAATGTTCTTCGGGCAGGATTCTCTTGATTTTCTCCCCACCCCTTGTTAACTCAAAATGGTTTTTAGGCTGCTAGGGGAAGTCTTGTTGCTATTGTATTTTTTGACTTATGCAGATTTGATGTATTACAATTTCAACTTTTTCCGGAGTGTAGACAAACTTTATAAATCAAACTAAAATGTAGAAACTTTGATTTGAGAAGAATTTGTAATGCTTAGAACTATATTGTTAAATTGTCAACATACATTTTTTTCCTTTTTTCTTCCTCTCTCTTTCTGTGGGCTGTTAGCTTAACAGTTACCGCTGGAAGATTAAAACTCTAACAAATGAAGCTAATTCTGCCCAATTGTTCAGAATAAATAAGAATTCCTACACGAAAATGTATGGACTCGATCTAAATAACATGTACACTTGTATCAGAATCTCCAAATGCATATGCCGAGTCATGATTTGTACAGCAAACTGGCAAGGTCGAGAAGTCTGATGGATCCGATTCTTATCCAAATGATCTTCTACTTGAGGAAGGGGATGAGTTGAGAAACTCCTGACCAAGTTCCTTGATCTTGTTTATTAGAAGCATTTGTTCAGTTTCAAGCTGTGCCATATACTCCTCTTGCAGATCCTCTAGACTTTCCAGCTCACTCATGCCCGTCGCAAGTCCTTCAAGATTGCTATCTTCAATGAAACTTTGTAACTTGTTCATCATTTGTTTCATCTGCAAGAATAAGAGATTTGAAGCTATGATGACAAAAAGTTGGATCGTAAACACATTTGAAGTTCTTTACAACTGACCTGACTGGAAATCCGATGAGCTTTGTTCAAGGAAATTTCAGAATCCAGACTGGTTTTTGAGTCCAAACTAGATCTCTTATCAAGTTCTGGAACTCTCTTGGTGATTTGGATATGTATCTCTCCCTTTTTAACCCCCTGAAGTGGTATCCATTTGTCAAACATCTGGTTTGGAGGCAGCCCTTGATACTCCACAACACAATCACCTATGCTCGACGTTGGGAGCAGAGCATTGTGGTCTTTCACATGTAACAGCAGAGCGCTGCCATTGTCTGGAAACTCCAGAATCTGATTCCACTGGGGCCTTAGAGTTTTGTACATAACCTGCAACAAAATTCATAATTAAAACAATTTCATAAAGAACCTTATGGCTGATGATGAAATTAGAACTTGAAAGATACCTTGGTTCTTTTCTTCAACTTCCCATATTGGACCCTCACGTAAGGATCACTCGTCCCTCTGAGATCAGCAGCAACAAGGTCTCTTGCTTCAACTAGAACGAGTTCGATCCAACCATTTGTTGGAGCCAAGCTTGATCCCTGGGGACATGGAGGAATGATTCAGATATGAAGGATCATATGATTCAGATATGAGCTTGTTAAACATACCCTTGATCCTTCATTGTCATCCACTCTGATGGCTTCTATTTGAAGCCTTAATTCTCCAGAATTCACCTTTTCAAGAGGAATCCATACATCTCTAACTGACCCTTCTACTAATCCTTCCAGATTAACCCTTGCACTCCCAGTGTTATCATTGCCAAAGATGTCTTCAGTAAGGCATTTCAACTTTAGATACTCACCACCACCGATCTCATCAAATTCAAACTTCTGATTCCATAATGGATTGAAGGAGTGAGCAGTTCTTGTGCGCTGGAGAGACTGAAATCATAAACAACAATCATCAAAGGGTTAGCATCATCATTACTCTTAAAATATTTGAGAGATTAGAAGGAAAGAAAACTACCTTTCCATACTGCAATTTCACATATGGATCACACTTTCCATTCTTGTCTTTTGTTGGAAGATCCTTTCCTTCCACAACTGTGATGTTGATCTTTCTTCCAGTGCTCGAAACAAAACTCGACGCCCCGTAGAGAGATTGTTGTGGACTAACGTGGTACCTGTTCGAACTATGTGAACCATCTGAGTACATCCATTCCTTTAAAACAAGCCTCACTGACAGCTGCAACGACATGGTATGTCAGCACGACAGAATCAGCTGCTGCAGCTTAGCAAACTATAAAGATTTTACCTCTCCACAAAAGGCCCCTTCAAATGGAATATCCATTTCAACTTCTTTTCCACAAAACTCAGCATGCCTGGCTATCACACTAGATTCTGGTCCTATTGCCCAAAATGTTGTGGAATCGTCTGCCGCATATTTCATCTGCTCATAGAGAACAAACTTTGAATTAGCTAATCTGGCTCTGATACTATTTGTAACAGTTCGAGCCCACCGCTAGCAGATATTGTCCTCTTTGGACTTTTTCCTTTCGGGCTTCCCCTCAAGGTTTTTAAAACGCGTCTGCTAGGGGAGGTTTCCACACCCTTATAAGGAATGCTTCGTTCCCCTCTCCAACCAATATGGGATCTCACAACGTGACGGAGAACATATAACTTAAACGAGTTTGTATGATTATTGAGTAATTTATACCTTAACCTCACAACTTGCAAGATAATCATGCTTCACATGGCTTGGATTATACTCATAAAGATGAAACCGTAGAGTTCCTGTATCTTCGTGTAAGATCATATTGAATGTGGCATTCCACTGAGGGTCTGAACCTGATCTTGCATCTGTTTTTCTACTAAGCTTTTCAAGTTCAACCTCAACAAATGTCTGCAGATCTTTATCATTAAGATGCTCTCCGAATGAGCCATTAGAAGAGTGGCTTTGTTGTCTTCTTGTTGGACTTCCTTTCAAGCTACTTCGATACAGTTTTCTGGCAGAAATGACAGTCACATATATGATACCACCAACAGCCTTCTTCCTGAGATCAACGGGTGGCAAAGAGAAACAGCGCCTGCGTGGTTCAACCATTGTCCTAACCAGAGTATCTGTAAAAAATTTGACCTGCATAAGAGAGGACAGATTGTTGAGATACTCAAATGGAGTAACAGTGATAGATGTAGAAATATACCAGCCAGGAGGAAACACCAGGGAGCTCTGTTGCAGGCAATGATTGGCTTCCACCACTTCCAAAAGCAATTCCTATTCTTACATCAGGAGTTGTCACAAACGAAAATAGTACTGCCTTCCCATCCAAAATAGGCATCAACACAAGCTGTAAAGGTAATCCAAATAACAGATGAAATTTTACGACATTGCTAACTTTTGAGTGAGTGTGGATTTTATATGGTGGAGTGGAAACTAAAACTCCCAAGACATCCTAAAGTCATAGGAAAAACTCGTGAACAATAAATCAAGCGGAATGCACGTGTCATCTGTGAGATCCCACATCGGTTGGGGAGGAGAATGAAGCAATCTTTATAAGGGTGTGGAAACTTCTCCCTAGCAGACGTATTTTTAAAACCTTGAGGGGATGACTCAAAGGGAAAACCCAAAAAGGACAATATCTACTCGCGGTGGGCTTGGGTCGTTACAAATGGTATCAGAGCCAGACACCGGGTGATGTGTTAGCAAGGAGGCTGAGCCCCGAAAGGGGTGAATTGATCTTGTGTGCTACTTATGCTGAAAAATTAAAACGAACACAGTCGAGGGAAGAGGGAAAGAAACTATACGTACATCACCCTTTATATGTAGACTATTTATGACAATCCGTGCAGTTCCCATAAGTGGCTTGGCCAGTTTGGCTTGCAACAAAATGCTCATTTCATTTGTGTCCCAATCGAAATTCAAATGCATGATTCTCTGTCAAAACTCGATCACATAACTATGTTCAGATTTCAAGTCTTAATCACAGAAAACAACAACCAAACTAGAAATATGATTATACATAATGGAAAAACAAAGAGAGTCCAACCTCACCACCACAAGTTAACCATCGAACCCCACCAAGACCCAAGCTAGGAGGGCACGAGCCTAGAGAAAACTCCAGCAGTTCCATGTTTTCCTACACGAAATTGAGCAATTTGGTTATGTTCTTGTATGTAACAGCTGAAAGATGGAATGGCCAGAGTAGGTGTACTCACAATAAGCCTCGACTTTCGGTCCTTCAACCGTTTCTGCATAGAGAAACTCTTAAGTGAGTCAAATGATGTCAATACTCAAATTTTTGTGTGTAGAACAAGTAGGGTACTCACATTTACTGCGGATGAAAACTTTGAGGAAAGTTTTGGATTAAAATAATTTGGCCATACTTCCATCAACAGCTTATTCAACCATGCACAGGGTTCCAGAGGTGTTTCAGGCTGTTTAAGTTATGAATAAAAGAGGAAAGAAATTAGGCTACCACATTCAAAATCTCAAGCAGTCATCGAGGAGGAAAGCAAAAAAGAACAAAGATATACCGAAGTGTTTGTTACAAGTCGCCTCCATTTTGTGTTCAAATCATCAACAATTACTTGGCGTTCATAACTCCCATACTGCAGGAGAAAGATGATATTGCGTTGAATCTTTAACGTTGCTCAAACACAATGACATAATCATAACACCATTTTCCAGACAACATCTCCCCACGTGACAATGTTAAGCCAAGTGTCAAGGGCCTATGCTGATGGAAGCTCTCAGCGACTTTATCACCGTTTGGGAATATCAATCAACCAAAAAACTTGATAGATATAGCTGACATTTTCCATAGTTTTCAATAATTAATGAATCTACTCGACACCATGATTATGTTACTAATGATGTTACTAATGTAACGGCTCAAGTCCACCACCGGCAGATATTTCCTCTTTGGACTTTCCCCTTTAGGCTTCCCCTCAAGGTTTTTAAAATGCATATGTTAGGGAGAGATTTCCACACCCTTATAAAGAATGTTTCGTTCTCCTCTCCAACCGATGTGGGATCTTACAATCCCACCCCTTTTGGGCCCAACGTCCTTGCTGGCACTCGTTCCCTTCTCCAATCGATGTGGGACCCCCAACTCACCCCCCTTCCGGGGCCCAGCTTCCTTGTTGGCTCACCCTTCTCGCTGACACATTGCCCGGTGTCTGGCTCTAATACCATCTGTAACAGCCCAAGCCCACCGCTAGCAAATAGTGTCCTCCCCTCAAGGTTTTTAAACATGATTGCTAGGAAGAAGTTTCCATACTCTTATAAAAAAATGTTTCGTTCTCCTCCCTAACCGATATGGGATCTCATAACTAATGTTGATTGAAATATAAAAAAAAAAAAAAAAAAAAAAAAAA